ATACCTTATGGTTTTCCCCAGACTGTAGCTATCGATACTTCCTCTGTTTTGTTCCCCTTTTAAAGTATCCCTTAATTCTTTCTAAATTTTGAACTACATCCTCATCCAGAAAAAGACCCCTTTAACCTCCCCCTTCCCCCCGTCCACCTTTTTCCCCCACCCCATTTTCATTACAAGGGGCAGGGCCCGAGAAGTCCTTGTCTCTTGTCAATTTTAACCAATGATCTATAATTGATGGTCTTTTAAGATGTAATCTAATTCGAGAATCTATGTGCATTAGAGAAGAAGGTATAGTCTCTTTTCTTTATATGCTTTATTCCCCAAGTGTCCATAGTTTTTATTCAGCATCATTTTTTTCAGACCCTTTAGAGACCTACCCCCCTCTCTTTGCCAAAAGCGGTATACCTTTTGTGGGTCATACAAAAATTTAGGTCTCCAGCTACTACAGGCGCCCTTTTTTAAAATTTCCTTTAAATTTTTTAGCAGACCCTTCAATACCCCCGGGTTTTTATTGGGGCAGTTATTTGGCTAAAGTACACTAAATCCCCTGGGTCTCCCTTTTTTAAAATAAAAACCCCCCCTAGGGTCGGTTCTTCTACCTCGTCAAATCTCATATTCTTTGCAAACCTATTGCAACCTCTTTTGCTCTTTTAATTGGAGAATCGATAGTACCCTGTTGGGTAGTGTTTGGGTTTAATTTCACATTTACCTCTACTCAAAATGCGTTCCCGAAAAAAAACCAGACGTAGCCCCTTGATTAATCATTAAACAACCCCAAAACTCTTCCTGGACAAATCAACCCGTTCACATTTGGTTTTAAACTGTATTTTTCCTCATTTCCCAAATTAAACCACCTCTTCCAGATTGCCTCTTCCCTTTATCTCTTCTGTCTGCAGAGTTTTTGACCAAACCTCCCCCCCTCCCCCCCACCCAAATCCCATTCCTCCCCCCCCCTTCCCTCCACCCCCCCCTCCCCCCCCCACTGGCATCTAATGTACCAATAAACATTTGTGGTTCAAGAACCATGTTGATTTTTTTTGGGGTTTGAATTCTGTCCATGGACAGCTCCTCCTCCTTTCCCCCCCCTCCCCAGCTGTTTCCCCTCCGTAAAACCATTTCTTTCTTTTCTTTTAACAATCCCCGGTTTCATTAGGGAAAATCTCAGGAAAATCTCTATTTTGGGCAGTAATTTAAAATTTTACTTTCCCCTCTCACAGCTGCCAATTCCCTTTTTTCTTGCTTCTCCTCCCTTTTTTTTCTTCTTCCCATCCAAGGATTCCCTCCTCTGCAACTCAAGTTTTTTACAAAAAAACTCTCAATCTTCTGGAAATCTCAGGTAGGCTGTTTTTCCTTTTTCACCCAATCAGGGGCAAATTGGGGGTTTCCCCCTCATAGAGGACCTTTTTTTTTTCTCATTGCTCTGCGTGGTTTCCAAAATTCTTTTTTCCACAAAAATTTTTTTGGGCCAAGGTTGCAAAGATCTGAATTCCATTTTCCTTTTAATCGTTTTTTTTTTTCCCTTTAATTTCCCCCAGATCTTTTCTATCTCCATATCTATGTAATTGGACTTTAAAACTCTTGGATTTTCCTTCCCGCCTTTGAAACTTTCCCTTTTCTCCCAAAAACCATCTGTTTTAATCACCTCTGCGCAGCTCTATTTAATATGAATGTAAAATTTTCCATTGTGTGGGTGGCCAATTTCATTTTTGTAATATTTTCCCTTCTATAGTCTCTGGATTCCCTCTCAGCCTTCAGGTTGTTCTTACCTGTCCCTATTTTCTTGCTACATCCAATTTATACAGCAGCTTTATTTGCGTTTTCTCCATATTTTTTACTTCTTCATTCCTCCTCCAATTGAGATATATTCTGGCCTGATGTTTTACTTTTCCTCATTTCCTCCACTCATGTCATCACACTGTGCCCAGACCTTCCGTATAGCTTGCCATTTATTTCCTTCTTTATTATCTTTTCTAAGCCTCAAAAACATTTCTGCCATCCTCTTTTTTAGTTTGGGCGTGCGTTGTAGGTCACTTTCCATTTCTCTCCCATCCACTATTCTGATATCTGCTGTATGGGGAAGTGACACCAAGCCCAATGATAATCTAGGGCTTTTTCCAACTGGTATCTACCCTCTCTTTTCCCTTTATAACTTCTCTGGTCTTCTTGTGTTATCTTTGGTACCTTGCATTATATTTTTTAATTGTTCCTGATTGGATCCTTTAAGGCCCACCATTCCCTTTAAAGGCTCTTATTCTTCATGTCTTCATAGATTCTTATTATTCCATATGCTATTAAATAGTTATTCATTTTTTTATTTAGTTCCCTCCCCTGCCTGTTAGTATTAGTCCTTTGTTTTCCATGCTTAATTACTAAGTTAAGTCTCCTTCCAGATACCCAGGAAATCCGCCCTCCTTCCTCCTTCTCTTTTGGTTTCTATTTTGTTGTGTTCACACTGCAAGCAAGTAAATACGAAGGAGACAATGTTTCAGTTTTCAGCAGCTCACTAACCCAGCTCACCCCTCCTTTCTCTCATCCGGGCTCCAGCTTGCTGTCATGTATTTCACTTTAATTGCTTGGGGATTCAAGGGGTCCTTTCCCTTTTACCTTTCCCCTCTTATTCTTCTCCTCTTGGGTAGTTTTGGTTCCTTGATCAGAGTTATTTTTTCCTTTCCCCCCTTCGGCAGGCTCGCAAGGGGTACTCGGAGAACCGCCATGTCTCTCCCTGCCTCTTGTGAATGCCCGCGGCTTTTTCCCCTTTCCCAACACTCCTTTGGGGTGGGCACTGGGCCCACCCCTCCTCCTGCCCTCGGCAAAAACCCCGGGTTCCCGGCTCTTCACTTCCGCTGTCCGGGCTGCCCGGGGGACCCAGCCGCAAAACACTCCTCTCTTTGTGTAAATTTTCCCCAACAGCCCAATCTATCTCAAAAATTCAATAAACCAAATATTCCAAAAAGGGGATGATCAATCTAAAATAAAATAATAATAAACCCCCCTCTAATATATATTCCAAAATCATTAAAATAAAAGATAAATAAATAAATAAAAATTTTAAAAAATAATAAATTAAAATTTAAAATAAAATGTCCAAATCTCCAAAAAAAAAATAATAATAATAATGTCCAAATCTCCAAAAAAGTATGTAATTAAAAAATAAAAGTCCAAAAAAAAAAAAGAAAAACAAAAATGTTCTTTTGTTTTTAGGAACAAAAAGATTATCCCAAAAAAGCCTTGTTATCCCCAAAGTAAAAAGAAAAAATTTTTATGTGTAAATCTCAGAAAATATATTGCTTCCCCCGTGCAAAACTCAAATCACAAAAAATAGTGAAAAAAACAATAAAAAAAAATAAAGTGAGAACCGTGATCACTCCCCAAACTCAAGTGAAAGTGTACTGGTATCAAACCTATTACCCAGCCAAAAATAGTGCTAAAAAACCTTTCCTTTATGGTATATTCGGCATATATGTTAGATAGGAAAGGCATTCCCCCATCACTCTTATCCCGGGGTATTCCTCTATGGACAAAAAGAAGGGCCCAAACAGGCAGATTTTTATAAAAGTATAAATTTTTTCCACACTTTCATGTTAAAAACACTTTATCCAGTCTCTGTACTGGGGACATTTTATCTCTGGGTTTAAAAAAAAGATCGTTTCAACCGACAAAATGGCCCGGGGGACACTTCCGGGGTTAGCGTGCGTGCGTAATGACGTCACTCCCCCCTAGGGGTGAGTCATTACGCCCACGTAACGGAAGAGTCGCCGCGGCATTTTGTCGTTGGAACCGATCGTTGTTTCACCAGAGACTGAAATGTGCAGGAACAGAGAGCTGGATAAAAGTGTTTTTACATGTAAGTGTGGAATAAATTTTATCATTTATGAAACTGCCTGATGAGCCTTCTCTATGTCATATGAGGAAAAACCCCGGGATAAGAGTGATGGAGGAATGCTGTCCTATCTAACAGTATATGCCTGAAATATACCATAATAGGGTAATGTATTTAGCATCTACTTTTGGCTGGAAGTATAGATAGGATCACTGAATACCTAGTAATCACTTTTCACTTTGAGATTGGAGTGATCACGAGTTCTCACGTTATATTTTTATTTAATTGATTTTTCACTATTTTTGGTGTGATTTGAAGTTTTGCACAGTGTGAAAGCAAATATATATATGTCTGAGGATAGTTACACTATGATATATTTTTCTCTTTTACTTTTGAGGATAACAAGCATTTTGGATAATCGTTTTGCTTCAGGTGTCACTGAACACATAAAGAACATTTTTGTTTTTCTTGGGATTTTTTTGGACATTTATTTGTTTATATTACATACTTTTTTGGAGATTTAGGGCCACACTTATTATTATTATTATAATTTTTGGAGATTTGGACACTTTATGATATATGACTTAATTAATTATATTATATTTTAATTTTATTTATGTTATTTAACATTTATATTTGATGATTTAGGAATATATATTAGAGGAGGTGGTTTATTATTATTTTAGTTTAGATTTGATCATCACCTATTTTGAATATGTTTGGTTTATTGAAATTTTTGAGATAGATTGGGCTGATTGGGAATGTTTATCACAAAAAAGTACATTTTAATAGTTTATTCACTTCCTAAGGAGGAAGTAGTGTTTTGTGGCAGTATAGGAGCTTTTTGATTGAACAGCTCCTCTCTGTCTCCGCACCAGGGATCCACTCTGCCGTCAATTACCCCGCTTTCCAGGTACCTCTTCGGCCGCTCATGCCTCTTTTCCGTACGGGTAGCTGGGGAGGGTCTGGGACGGAGGAGTCCCCGTCGGAGAGCTCCTATCGCATGCTCTCCGGCGCCGCCATGTTCAGGCTCCTCCCCTCCTTGCTGTTTGGTTGGTTTCAGCTCAACTGAAACTGATAACCTTTAAGGTGCTACTAAACCCCCCCGCAGTACAATCAGTCTGTTAGAAAAAAAATGCAGTAAAGCATGCTTGTTATACTCACTGTGGAACCTAAGGGGTTAATCCTCTGCAGTGTGAAAAAAAGGCTGTTTGATCCTGTCTTCTCTGATCCTCCCCTTCTTCCAGTGTCCCCCCTCTTATCTCCAGATAAGACACATTTTGTGTGGAGTCACTCTGCACATACTCAGTTGGTGTGTATTTCTAGAGAGGTTTTTATTTTTCTTGGGAGAGTGCATGTGATCAGGGCCAATCAGCACTGTCCAGACAGAGGTCAGGGGTTCTGCATCCTCCTAAAGCAGAATGAAAATCAGTGCTCTGCTGGACACTGATAGAAGTCACAAGACTGTTAAATACTCTGCTGATGAGAAAAAGTATTTAGCAGTTTATATTTAATAAAATAATTGCATTTCCATGTTGTGTGTACTGTGGGAGACCGGATATAGTGAATGCAGGGTCCGGGGAGAGCAGATATAGTGAATGCAGGGTCCAGGGCGAGCGGATATAGGGACTGCAGGGTCCAGGGATACCAGATATAGTGAATGCAGGGTCCGGAGAGACCAGATATAGTGAATGCGGGGTCCGGGGAGACCCAGATATAGTGAATGCCGTGGCCTGGGGAGAGCGGATATAGTGAATGCGGGGTCGGGGAGAGCGGATATAAGTGAATGCAGGGTCCGGGGAGAGCGGGATATAGTGAATGCAGGGTCCGGGGAGACCGGATATAGTGAATGCGGGTCCGGGGAGAGCAGATATAGTGAATGCGGGGTCCGGGAGACCAGATATAGTGAATGCAGGGTCCGGGGAGAGCGATATAGTGAATGCAGGGGTCCGGGGAGACCGGGTATAGTGAATGCGGGTCCGGGGAGAGAGCGGATATAGTGAATGCGGGGTCTCTGATTCATGACGGAGATATGGTCAGCATACACCTAACTTCCTGCAGTGATCTGACAACACTGACACTGACATGTTGTCAGCCCTGCCCTGTTTGGACTACATAACTTCTCCCTCTTTGCCTCATCTCCAAACACTTCTCCAAGTTTACATTCTCAGCACTCCCTCCCTTACAAGCTGTCTGCTGTTTCCTCCCACATTCTTGCTATTTCAGAGCAGCTCTGGAAGTGTTGTCAGCCCACTGCAGGAAGTTAGCGGCTGACTGCATTTCTGTCAGGATCCTTGTATTCTTTCTGTAATTGCAGCACCATGAAGAGACGGGAAGTTCTTGTAATGAAGAGCTGTGCTCAGTATGTTTGTTTAGATAATAGACCACAAAGAAAGTACAAAGTATCACTTATGTTTAAGCACAATTACTATGAAGATATCAGGATACTGTGGTGTATGTGTTTCTGCGATACAAACAAAGCATTAAAGATATGACATGGAAACAAAGTGTACAATGTATTAAACTCAGAACAATGTATCCATTTTTTATTTTGAAAACAATAGAGATGCAACAACGGAACCATCAACCAGGGATGACCTCCATGATGACAACTGGATCAACAATCACCACTCTAGACTCCTACAACAATGACAACGGACAGCACTCTTGTACACCCAGGTACCATCATGAACCAACCACCGTGATAGAAATCATCTGGCACCTGAAACTCCAACCCCCACCATGATAGCAAACCCACTGTCCGGCAACCACCACTCAAAACAACCAGCCACTGAAACTCCAACCCACTACCATAAAAAGCACGACCCTGAGTCGCAACGACAAAGAGTCACCTAGCGCGGTTAACACAAATAACCACCATACAAGAAAATACCACTGAGGAGTCCAACCGAACATACAGCAACCAGCACTGAAACCCCAAACCACTACCATAACAGCTCGACTGAGTCGGCAAC